TAGTAGCTACGTATTGTTTAAATTTGTTTTTATCCTGGAATATTTTGTTTTCTCCGTTGATCGTGAACAATAGCTTGGCTGGGTATAGTAGTCTGGGTTTGCATTCATGGTCTCTTAGTTTCTGCAGTACCTCTATCCAGCATCTTCTGGCTTTCATGGTTTCCATAGAGAAATCCGGTGTAAGCCTGATAGGTTTACCTTTATAAGTTACTTGACCTTTTTCCTTTGCAGCTCTTAAATTTTTTTCTTTAATATGTATGTTTTGTGTTTTGATTATTATTTGGCGAGGGGATGTTTTTTTCTGATTCATTCTATTCGGTGTTCTGTATGCTTCATGAACCTTCATAGGAATATCGTTCTTTAGGTTGGAAAGTTTTCTTCTATAATTTTGTTGAATATATTTTCTGGGCCTTTGATCTGCAGTTCTTCTCCTTCTTCAATCCCTATTATTCTTAGATTTGTTTTTTTTTTATTGTGTCCCAGATTTCCTGAATGTTTTGTGAAGAGAATTTGTTGGATTTGCCGTTTGCTTTGACCAGAGCATTTATTTTCTCTATGGTATCTTCAGATTCTGAGATTCGTTCTTCTATCTCTTGTATTCTATTGGTTATGCTTGATTCTGTAGTCTCCGTTCGTTTACCTAGATTTTCCATATCCAGCCGGTTCTCGGTTTGTGTTTTCTTCATTGCCTCCATTTCAGTTTTCAATTCTTGCACTGTTTCCATTACTTGTTTGATTGTTTTTTCTTGGTTTCTCAGGGTCTCATTCACGGATTTACTTATTTCTTCAAACTTTTTGTTATATTTCTCATCTATTTCTATACTCATTTCTTCAAACTTTTTGTTATATTTCTCATCCAATTCTTTAAGGGAGTTATTCATATCCTGTTTAAGGGACTCTATTGTTTTCATAATGGCACTTTTTTCCACTTCTTCTGGGTTAAGGTGTTCAAGTCCTTCTGTTGTAGGGTCCTTGGGATCTGGTGTTTTCATGTTGTTTTTCAGATTGTTGGATGAGGTCTTGCCTTGGCGTCTGCCCATCTCTTCGTTCAAATGTTCTCTATTGGAACTTCTGTTACTGGGTCAGGTTCCCTTCTTGGGCAGGGGCTTCACTGACAGAATGCCCACCTTTCCTCAGGCAGGCTATTGAAGCACAGGCACTCCCTCTTTCCAGGATGCGCTTACAATGCAGGCTCAGCTTGCAAGGCAGCTGAGCTGGGGAAAATTTTATGGCCCCAGGAGGAAGGGAGAAATATAGGAATTCGTACCTGGATGGGAGCTGACATGGCAGGCGGGAGGGGGTAGCCAGCACTGCAGAGCGACCTGGGCGACTGTGGGGTCGGGGAACGCCAAAGCTCCTCCTCACCAGGACCCTGTCAAGGCCCGAAGCAAACTCACCCCTCCGATGGCCCTCTGCTAGAAGTCAGGGCACCTGCTGGTCAGGAATGTGGCTGAACTAGCACCTGGTCCACCTGTCCTCAGGGAGGCCTTTAAGACCCAGGAACTGCCTCGAGCTGGACTGTGCCTACAGCCCAGGCCCAGCTCGCAAGGCAGCTGAGCTGGGGAAATTTTATGGCCCCAGGGGGAAGGGAAAAATATAGGAATTCGTACCTGGATGGGAGCTAGGATGGCAGGCGGGACGGGGTAGCCAGCACTGCAGGGCGACCTAGGCGTCTATGGGGTCGGGGAACACCCAAGCTCCTCCTCACCGGGACCCTGCCACGGCCAGAAGCAAACTTACCCCACCGATGGTCCTCTGCTAGAAGTCAGGGCCCCTGCTGGATGGGAGCTGGGATGGCAGGCAGGAGGTGGTAGCCAGCACTGCAGGGAGACCTGGGCGTCTATGGGGTCGGGGGACACCCAAGCTCCTCCTCGCCGGGACCCTGCCACGGCCCAAAGCCTCTAATACATCTCTTAAATTATTTTTTCCATCGTGACTGTTTTGGACATTCCATTCTCACTGGGTATATTGACTAACTGGGCTCAACAGCACCATTCATTTCCTTAGTGCAAGCAGCTATAGGTATGGTACTCTAATATTCATAAAGTTCTAATCCAGGGTGATGATTCGTGCATATAATCCAAACACTTGGAGAAACTGACGCAGGCACCCTGCTGAGGGTCAGCACCAATCAGAATGACCAGAGCAAAATGGATGACTCCTGGTCAATAGCCAGTTTCTAGGTCTAAGCAGCCTGATATGCTCATCCTCCAGGTGCAAATAGCTTGTTTTGTCTGTTCTCAATGATAGTCAGAGCCCAGGTAAAATGACATTTTATCCTGACTTTTTCCTTTCAGTTTCCTTGCTTCTGCTGCAACAGATAAGGTGATGAGAGAGAAGTGAAATAACCACCTTTGGTGGAAAGCTCCCAAGTTACAACAGGCTTTTGATTTCTGTACCTAGGATTGAGTGCTCCCTCTCTCATCATTGAATGTTCCAAATCCATTCTGTATTTGATTGCACACACTCAGTCACAGGCAAACTTCAGACAGGGTTTTTGCAAGTTAGACTCCTGGCTGCCCTCCAACTCACAGCTGGTTTTAGGTTCTAGCCAGGTCCTCAGTACAACCTACCTAGAAGTGAAGGGGAGCTGTTTCTCAGACCTGAAAAGAGACACAGCCAGAGGAAATGCTGTGTAGGTGCTGTGGGGTGGCATGTTGGGCTTTCCCCCATTTCTTCTCTGAGTGATTTTATAGTATTTCATCTGTTGGAAATTTATTTCCACATCTGTATTTAGTCCTCAAGCTGCCTTTCCTTTAAAATACGTCATTTTACCTATTATTGGATTCTGGCAACCCTCCCCCCCCCATGCACCCGAGGTTACCTGGGACTCTTGACTATTTCCTACCTCCTGGCGGACAGCTAAATAATCTTCATCAGGTTCGTCTTCTTATTTAGCTTCTCTAGGATCACGAATAATAGGCTCAAAGACCTTAAATTATGGTTAGAATCCACTTATGAGTGAATACATACCGTGTTCCTCTTTTTGGATCTGGGTTACCTCACTCAGTAAAGCGTTTTCTATGTCCATCCATTTGCATGCAAAATTCAAGATGTCATTGTTTTTTACCGCTGAGTAAAACTCTACTGTGTATATGATCCACACCTTTTTTAACCATTCTTCTATTGAGGGGCACCTAGGCTGTTTCCAGGTTCTGGCTATTACAAATAGGGCTGCTATGAACATAGTTGAACAAATGCTTTTGTAGTATGTTAGGGCCTCTTTAGGGTATATTCCCAAGAGTGGAATTGCTGGGTCCTGAGGGAGGTTGACTCCCAGTTTCCTGAGAAACCGCCACACTGATTTCCACAGTGGCTGCACAAGTTTGCATTCCCACCAACAATGGATGAGTGTTCCCCTCATTCCACATCCTCTCCAGCATAGGCTATCATTGGTGTTTTTAACTTTAGCTATTCTGACAGGTGTAAGATGGTATCTCAAAGTGGTTTTGATTTGCATTTCCCTGATCGCTAAGGAGGTTGAGCATGACCTTAAGTGTCTTCTGGCCATTCGAAGTTCATCTGTTGTGAATTCTCTGTTCAGATCAGTACCCCATTTTTAATTGGGTTAATTAGAGTTTTAGTGTCTAGTTTCTTGAGTTCTTTGTATATTTTGGAGATCAGACCTTTGTCTGATGAGGGATTGGTGAAGATCTTCTCCCAGTCAGAAGGCAGCCTTTTTGTCCTACTGACAGTGTCCTTTGCTTTACAGAAGCTTCCCAGTTTCAGTAGATCCCATTTATTCATTGTTTCTCTTATTGTCTGTGCTGCTGGGGTCCTACTTAAGATTCTGGCTTCATCTGAAATGGGTGATTTATCTCAACATCAATATCCAACACAGAGAGGGACCCTTTGCTTTCCACAGTTTTCATGCAGAATTAGCTTTGTAGAATTGTTAATTGTGTATAGTATAGTCTCACCATGAGACTATGAAACTTAAAGCTAGAACGTGTACTGATATCCCTCTTTGTCAAGTAGGTTTTTTTTTCCCATTGGTGATTGTATTTCATACAGTATATTATTATTTATGCTTTCCCTCACCAAAATCCTGCTAGGTTCTCCATGCTTACCATCCACCTACACAATCACACTGTCTGTCGTTCTTTATAATACTTAATACTCCTAACAACAACACTATTTATAATAAATTTTAATACAGAAACAAGGATAGAATGAAAGAAGTAAATAAACAATCAGGAAATAAATAGCCAAAGAAAAGCTACAAGAATCACATAGATGTGATACAAACAAGATTTTAATCATAGGAATCTTATAAGAATATAAAACTGCAAACCATAATACATAGACAAAGGCACTACAAGGTTAAATTAAAAGCCCTAATAAAGCACTATGAGACAAATAACCTCTAAAAATGACTGAGTATTCTTTTGTGGAGCCATCTACTTGAGGGCCCTGCCCTTAAGAGAGATTTGTATATGCAAGGAGACTTCATGGTACTATTTAACTTTTGATGTGCTTTGATTATTATTTAGTCATAACTCCTGATTTAGAGATGGGGGCTTGTTCAGACAGTCTTTTCACTGGTACCCATTGGACATCTCTCAAGGAGAAGAGGACTGTAACGATGACATCCTACCTCATTACCTATCTAGTACTGTCATGATTCTCACATATTTTACTTTCCAAGACAGGTTTTGTTGTCAGGTGCCTATTGTTACCACTGTGCAGCAAATCAGTCTGTTTACTCCTCCCCTCTGTTCCCCTTATTACTTGAGTTTGAATGTGTAAGAGGCTGGTTCACACTCCCAGGGAAAGAATATTTCACCAAATATCATTTCTCTTTTATTTGTGATTATGATTTTCTTATATTTCCACTTTCCTTTTTAATTATATCCTTCTAACTACAAATTAACACACTCTTTATTCTACCTGTTCTATTTTTTACTAGTTGATATTGCATGCATATATATATAGATGCATATATATATATCATATACACTATCCTGTCTTTAAAATATTGCTTGTAACTTTCTTTTTAGGGGTGATTGTGTAATTCTCATTTCACATCCAACATGAAGAATTCAACAGCTCTTTTCGTTTGTCACTTCAGTGAGGTAAGTCATATAATTTAATGAAGTTAAATTAATTTGAGTTGCTCCTTGAAATCATGAATCATTTTCCTTTATATTTCTTACAAATCATCCTGTGGCTATGTACACCCTATGTCATTTATTCTTCATCTTCCTAATGCAGCAACACTTTAATACAGTTTCCTACGTTGTGTTGACCCCCATCATAAAACTATTTGTGTTGCCACTGCATAATGTTATTCTCCTACTGCAATTAATTATAATCAATGTCTGTGTTTCCCCATGGGCTTGGGTGACCCTAGTGACAGGGTGGTTAGCTTCCAGAGGGGTTAAGACCAAATGATTGAGCACCATGGTATTATGTAAATTTTATTTTTTCATGTCTCCTTACTTAAGGAATAATTTAAGAGGGTAAGACTTCAGGGTAAGAAAAATTGTCAAGTGATACACATTAAAAGTATCTCAGCAAAGCTCAAAAAACAATGAAAGTATTTCTTCACTTATAGACTTCACAGTAAGAAACTCACATGCCTCAAAGTTAATGGAATGACAGACTGAATACACACCAGGGAATGTTGAAGTTATAATTAGATGTAGATACTCATATAGCTGATAATTAGGTAAATAGGTACAGAAGAGGAGGTGACTAGAGTGGGATCACTTCTTTTTTTTTTATCATGCATAGATGTTTTTGAAAAACTTCTGCTTTCCTTTCATCATCAATTCAGAGGAAGCAGCATGTTTCCTGGGGTCTTATGTTAACTAACCAGGAGTTGCTGTTCTCCTCCACATGACCTGTATAACCTCTGAGACTCACTGGACAAGTTCAAATGTTGATGTCACTTTTGACAAGGATGACTTTTTAGCTGAATTTATTTTAACTTTTATAAATTTTATGTGAATTTTCAGAACTCTATCTCTTGCAGGAAGCCACACACTTGAATGTGGTTTGTGGGCAGTGTGCTGCAAGTTACTTGGTGACAGCAATGGGCCAAATGGTTAGGAGAGTTGAGGTGGTGAGTGTGGCCCCATCATGGTGACCTCAGATCTGACCATGAATTACCGCTGCCATGTTAAAAGGCAGAGAGTGACAAGGTCAATAATATCCATGGCCAGGCAAAAAACACTGCTTACCATTTTAAATTGCTCTTCATCAGAAAAGGATTTCAGATATACAATAAGATGGATTCAGTCATAAACAACCTCTAAATGAGACAGGATGTGTTAAAAAATGTATATAGGCTTGGGAGAGAGAGGAAAAAAGAATATAGAGAGCTATTAAAAGAAGTAAATCATAGAAAAAATAAAACAAAGTCTTTAAAAAACACAGTAGATAGTCATAGATTAAAGCAGTAAAGAAAAATAAGCCATATAAAGATGGAATATATACAGAGAGTCTGGATTATGTATGCTATTGTGTATTCTTTAAATATTTTCACTGTGAATGCACTAAGTACTGAGGGATATTTTATTGGATGGGCTGCTGCCATTTTGAAACCATGATTTTTTTTTCCCTTTGCCACTGCTGAATCAGAAAGACCTTTCTTAAAGGAGCTGCAGCATGCCACCAGAAAGCAGAGCCCATTTGGAAAAAAAATGTGGCTAAACTTTGCTTTTTTGGTGTCTACAATTCCTTTCCAAGCCTTGTCAGGTTTTATGTGGATTTAACTAGCAGAAGTCGGAGCACCAATCTGTTGTAGGAAGGCTGCCTGTTTGTTCCTGGCTGCCTACACTCCCAAATAACCACACAGAAACTGTATTAATTAAATCACTGCTTGGAACATTACATCTAACTTCTTATTGGCTAGCTCTTACATCTTAATTTAAACCATTTTTATTAATCTGTACATCGACACATGGCTGTGACTTACTATCAATGTTCCAGGTCATCTGTTCCCAGCAGCAGCTACACAGCATCTTCTGACCCCTTCTGTCTCCCAGCATTCAGTTTAGTTCTCCCCACCTAGCTCTACTCTACTCTATCACAGGCCAAGGCAGTTACTTTATTCATTAGCTCATAAAAGCAACACATATGCGGAAAGGCCTACCACACCACATACTCTTTCTTTTCTCTCTCTCTCTCTCAAGCCCATATACATTTATCTAACACTGTGACACATTCAGAGGACTTTTTTTTGAATATATCTTATTGTGTATCTATAATCATTTTCTGACCAGGGCAGGTTTTTTTTTAATGCTATGCAGACATGGTTAGGAATACCTCTGTTGCTTTCCCTGTTGTCTCCACCACATCCAACATTGTGGAGGTATGTTCACCACCTCTGTGAGCCCTGCTATTTACCCAGATCCAGAAATGCAGATGGCCTATATTGTCATTAATCAACTTGTAACACTCTGCTCATAAAACCCAATTAAGTCCTCCATAGCAGGACCTCCTGAAACAGTTTTTGTTGCCAGCATGAACCAGGAAGCTGCCTCTTAAAGAAGCTGTGCCTCTGCTTGTGGCCAGCAAATAGAGCCTATCTGGAAAAAAAATGCAGCTACCACGAAACTGCACTTCACTGCAATTTTTGTGGGTCTAGACCCCTCTTTCTTCTTGCGATTTTTAAGGCTTTTTTTGGTTTTTGTTTTGTTTTGTTTTTTTGAAACAGGGTTTATCTGTAGCTTTGGTGCCTGTCCTGGAACTAGCTCTTGTAGACCTGGCTGGCTGAGAACTCACAGAGATCTGCCTGCCTTTGCCTCTCAATTCCTGGGATTAAAGATGTGTGCCACCACCGCCTGAATGCTTTCTTAAGTATTATGTGGATCCATGTCCTCAATGGTGGGTGCTATTTTGTAACTGAACAATGCCTGTTTGTTTCCTCACTACTCAGACCCAAATAATCACTCAGAAACTATATTAATTATAGTTTATATCTGTGTGGATAACGACTCAGGCAGGGACATTCCTAGTTAACTCTTATATCTTAGATTTAACAATTTGTATTAATCTGTGCACCAACACAAGGCTGTGGCCTACTAGTAAATTTCCTGCATTATTCTCCTTCAGCATCTCTCTGACTCTGAGTATTTTCTCTATATATGCCAAGTCGACATATGTTAAAGTTAAACTTAAAGCAAGTAATTCAAAATAGGATTAGAGCAAAATTCGAGTTTACTTAGTGTAAAATAATTTACAAAATCATTGTAAAATATTTTAAGATGCACTTGCACAGCAAGACATTCAAAAATTCAACTAGTACTCTCTCTCTTTGTTAGGTCACAGCCTCACCAGAGTAAATTTCATGCTAACCTCATTACAGGATATGGACAAATAGGGAATTCAGGACATCCAGACTTCTGCTGCTTTTCTCTCCAGTGTCCGACCAACTCCAGCTTTTTAGGCCAGACAAAGCATAGCATCTCAAGTTGTAGTAAGACTAAGCAACTTGCCTTGTATTAAGACTGAACAAGGCAACACAGTATGAGGAGTGGGCTTCCAGAAGCCAGTAAAGGACTCAGACAGCAGCTGCTTCCATTGTTATGAGTCTCATAAGGAGATCAAGCTACAAAGTATCACATTTAAGCAGAGAGACTAGGTCATTCAATGAAAGTTCCCCGGTTGTCAGTTATGGCATTTTAATTTCCTTTAAGCCAAGGTTAGTGGATTCAGTGGGTTTTCTTCTGGTTTTCTTGAACCCTTTGGCTCCTACAATCCTTCCTGCCTCTCTCCTGTAGCATTCACACAGCTCAATCTAATGTTTGACCGTGTGTCTCTGCATGCGTTTCTACCAGTTGCTGCAGGAATGCTCTTTTATGACTATTGAGCATATTGAGTATAACCAATGAGAATAGCAGAATAATGTTAGGCAACATTACAATTTTTTTCCTACCATTGTATTTATTTCTATTCTAGATTTCTGGGCCATTCAGGCTCTGGGTCCTGGAGCTCCAGGCAATGTTAGGTTTGGATTCATTCTTGTGGCATGGGTATTACGGTGGACCAGTCATTGGTTGGCCACTCCCACCCTCACTGTGTTACTCTTACCTCAGTACATCCCATAAGCAAGACAGACTTTTGAAGGCTTTGTCCCTGGATACAATCCTTCTACTGCATTTCTTGCCTGGTCTCAGAAGTTGACCAATTCAAGCTAGATATTCACAACTGCTAGGAATATTAGCTGGGATTATCCTGGTAGAATTTTGTGAGACTCCCTGTACTAGGTTTCTACCTTACCCAAGAATGCTCCCTTCCCAGTTAGTTCATCCAGCGCTACCCCTTCCCTACCTAATCCTCCTGTTCCTACTCATTCCAAAATGTGGTCATTTACATAACGAAGTATTACTCATCTTTAAAAATAATGACACTAGGAAATTTGAAGGCAAATGGATAGAGGTAGAAAAAATCTGAGTGAGTTGACCCAGACACAGAATGTCAAACAAAGTATGTACTTACTAGTACTTGGATATTAGTAGTAACTTAAAAGATAAATATTTTGCAATTCACAGATCCTGAGATGCTAGGTAACAAGGAAAGTCAAAGGCAGACACTGTGATCTCCCTGTGAAGGGAAAATAGAAGATACTTTTATGAGTGGAAAAAACCCATTCATACCCAAAATGCTTTTAAACTTTTTGAAATAAAAAATATTTATATTTTACCTTTATTTAAAAGACTTTTAAAGAGTGTAATGTAAATTTTTAATTAAGATTATATGTACATAGACATTTTACTATTAATCAAGTATTTTGCTAATTTAAGCTGATTTTTCTCTGCTTGGAATTTTACAGTTTTTAAACCCTGAAATTAATGAACTGACAAGTAAAAAGAGGAAGAAAATTTATATTTCAACAAGACCTTCAAAGGTACTTGTGATATTGAATTGAGGGATATTTTATAAATAAAACTAGATAAAGATGAAGAAATCAGTGAGCTAAATACCTATATTTATTTACTTTTAATATATTTTTTTCTTTATTAAATATACAAATACAGTAAGACTAAAAATAATAAAAAATTCCCATTTATTGTAAGACATTTGCACAAAGGGCAGTGTTAAGCAATATTCAGTATACATAACATCA